GGAATAGAGAAACCTTTCATCAGAACTACTAATAAAAAAAAGTTGATAAGATGATTTTGGGATTTGGTCTTGCTGGAATTAATAAATTAAAATATGAAAGGAGGATGATTAAATCAAGGGCATTAAACATTCCTAATGACATGCCAAGCTATTCCAGAAACAGCCACCTGAGCTTCTTCACAAGTGGGCCTGATGTAACTCTGTGGCAGCAAGAATCCATGATTGCCTGTATCTCGAAGTTCAATTGTAAACGAATACTTGACGCCCAAATCATAGATCCAATCATCTGAACCTCCAGGAGCTAGGTCTAAAAGAAGAAAGAAATTACTTTTTGAAATATAGATGTTTCGAATTAATTAACAAACTGGCAATTTTTTCTCAAAAATAGCTTTGGCTTTTTGTGATTATGGAATAACCTCACTTTCTTGTACAAAATGGAGATTGAAGAAAAACACATTAAGGAAGAAAAGAAGAATTTCCCATAACTCTACCATAATCTTACCAGGGTAATTATCCAATAATTACCAATAATGTTTTCAGTGCTTTTTTGAAAAATCAATGCATGCATTCATATACTCAATATTTTTTACTACGTAAATAATACTATGGTATATGCAGTTTTGTAACATTTCTAAATATAATAATCATACAGTATTTGAATATAATATTAATGAGCTCATATCTACATAATCATTTTCAATGATCTCATAGCATTGCATTGTAAAGCTAGATGCAATTAATTTAAGTAACTATTACCTTTTTTCTTAACTTTACAATGAGCACCCTTGTTTATATATAATTGCTTCTTTATTTTGTTAGAATATTCTTTCCAAGAAGTAGATTTACTAATCTAAGGGTAAGTACTTTTTAAAATACACATTCTCAAATAGACTTCCCCCAAAATGAACTAATTTATACATCCATGAACAGGGTATAAATATGCCCATTTTCTCCTCTGGCACCATCAGTAGGAATTAAACATTATGTGTCTTTGATGACTAGTGAGTTGCACATTTTATTTGGCATATTTATTGCCTATCTTTATATTTTCTATCTTTTCTCATTTTTTTACTGGGTTAATTTTATCCATTGTTAATAAGAGCAACATTAGTGTTATTAGCCCTGGGTAACATGCAGAGAATATTTTTCTCTCATTTGGTTATCCAGCTTCAAATTTAGTTTATGGCAGGGTTTTTAATTTTAAATTTTATATTTGATTTTTATCTGTAATCTGGGAAAACACACTTTAGCAATCCAATTTTTTTCTGGGTAATTTGTCAGGTTTTCTAAACTCAGTAATTAAATAATAACATTCTTAACTGGTTTGAAATGCCTTCTTTATGAGATATAAGATGGCCTTATATTTGGGAGTGTCTTTCTTATATTTGTCACTTATATATAGTGTCTTTTTTTTTTTTTTTTTTTTTTTGCAGTTTTTGGCCAGGGCTGGGTTTGAACCTGCCACCTCTGGCATATGGGGCAGGCACCCTACTCCTTTGAGCCACAGGCGCCACTGTGTATGTAGCATCTTATATAGTGTCACTCTTATATTTGAGTGTATTTCTATACTTACAATTACCTTTTAGTGATATGTCCCTTCTAGGCCCAGTTCCATGTTGTCTTAATTGCTGTAAGTTTATAATGCGCTTTAATATCTAATTTGGACATGGGCCAAATTGTCTCTTACTGTTATTTTCAGAATTTTACAAGCTCTTCTATGAATTTATTCTCTCAAATTAACTTCAATTTTTTAAGTGTTCATTAAGATTGTATTAAAAATACCAATAAAGATTAATTTATAATATTTTATGTTGCTTTCCCACTGAGAAACATGGTAGATTTGTTCTTTTATTTGTCTTTATGTCGAGGAGTACATTTTCTATGTCTCATATAGGGCCTATGAATTTATTGTGTGTGTGTACATGTATACATTTAATAATAGATCCAAAAAATATATATAATATATTTCTATATGTGTGTATGTATGTATATGTGTATGTATGTGTACATGTATATATTTATATACATGCAATGAGGGGCAGTGAGATCTTTTTTTCCATTTTATTTTCTACATGAGTTTTGATGGATAAGAAAGTTATAGATTTTTTGTGTATGTTTAGTTCATGGCCACCTTACTCAACTCTGATTGTTACTAATATTTTTGGTTGATTTTCTTGTTTTCTACAGGTAGAAAATTATATAATATACAGAGAACAATCACTTTTTCCTCTTTCATATATCCAAACCATATTTGGATTATGGTTGTTTCATAAGAACTGTTTATAATATCAAAAATATCCATCAACAGTGTATTAGGTAAG